CCACAGCTGCATTGCACACACACACACACACACCAGAACAGCAACATTGTGAAAATAATCAATGTATCGTAGACAAATAGCCACTTCAGTTTTTCCATTGGTTGTATTAAATGTCCCGCCAATTTTCTCTTAACATTTTTATATGGAAATTGTAAGTAAACTATACTGTATGTCGTATACTTTCTGTTCTTGGTGATGTATTTTGAAATTATTATTATTATTATTATTATTATTATTATTACTACTACTACTACTACTACTATTACTACTATTTATTGTTAAATTGTTATTATTATCGTCATTATTATTATTATTATTATTATTATTATTATTGTTGTTATTATTACTACTACTACTATTTATTATCATCATCACCATCATCACCACCACCGCAAGTTAGTCAAAACCTTCACACGGTAAGGATACGGTCATGAGGCAGCGGTTATGTAGGGAACGGGTGATAGTGTCGGCGCGTGTGAGGAAACTGTTTACAGCCTTCTGGAGGGTGATGCGGTGGGGGTCCTCGGCTTGTGTTGCGGTTTCTTGCGGTTTTGTTTTTGCACTCTGGTTTTTTCCTACTTGTGTTATTGAGTCATTTTTCCCCCTCACCTAGTTTCCTGGTTCATGTCTAGTTTTCTTTCCCTGTGTTAGTTCCTTTAGCAGTCAATGGCTTATTTCCCCTATATGTCATTTCCTCATTTACCTAATTAGTTTTTCCTCATCATCATCATCTCTCTTCTTACACTTATCTCCTAGCCTAAGTTCTCTCTCTCTCTCTCTACCTGACTTCTCTTGTTCAATTTCCCCTCTCCGACCTGTATCTCTCTTGCCTAATAATGTCTCACTTTGTCTCTACTTGCTTCTCACGTTTACCTCACTGCCCCTCACTCCTCCCCCATGGATGCTTACCACTTGACCTTTTAATTTTTTTTTCGTGTTCTGTTTTTGTTTATTTTTTTTCGCTTTTTTCGGTTTTTTGTTTTTGTTTCGCTTTTTTTTGTTTCGGTTTTGTTTTCTGGTTTTTTTTAGTTTCGTTTTTGTTTTGTTTGGGTAGTTAGTGACGCCTCTGTTGTGCGCCCTGTTGGTGTTGTCTGTAACTCTGTCTTCTCCTTGTTGGGTCATTAATATCTGTCGCTTATTTACGTATTTACCAACAGTAGTTAAAGAATGTTTGTATTTCTCTTCTTAGGTTCTTATTATTTTTATTTTCTTGGCTACCTCCTCACACTTGCTTTGTTCTTCCTTCTCCTCTTTTACTTCTTGTCCTGCTCTTTCTTCTTCCTCGTCCTCCTCTCTTCCTCTACTTCTCCTCCCCCTTCTCTTCTACTCCTCCTCCTCCACCTCCACCTCCTCCTCCTCTTCCACCTCCTCTTCCTCTCCTCCTCCTTCTCTTCCTCTTCTCCTTCATCCTCCTTACTGACACTTATTTGTCTATTTGTGCCGTGTTGTCTGGCTCCTACCGACCTTCTTCTGTACTCCAGCCTCGCACGTCAGTCAGTATTAATGAGGCCCCCAGGATAAGGGTCATTGGAGTAACGTCACCACTCGCTGCAGGGCGGACGGGAGGGAGTAAACAAAGGGAGGGGGGGGAGGTATGTTGGAGGGAGGGGGGAGATGCATCACAACAATTTGGTTTTTGGAGATATTTCTTGTCCCCCTCCCTCCCTCTCCGCTCCCCACTTCCCACTGTTTACTTCTCCCCTGCCCACTTTCCCACTCCCCTCCCCAGTCTGTCTTTATTGTTGTGGCTTGGTCAACCAGGAGGATGGACTTGACTAGGTGTAAGGGGCACTTAGCTATGGCAGTATATGGGTCACGAGGTATTTAAACCTATATAGCCACCACCCCTACATAACACAAGCCTTTTAAAACCTTGTCATGGAGTTCGACCTCGCGTGTTTGATTTGGTTTTGCGTTGACTTAAAGAGCGATACAAGGTCCTTTTAATACACTCTGGGTTTTTATTTCGTGTTGGGCAGTTCTATTTGTGTCGAAGAATATGATTCGATAAGATACGATACTATGTGGTGTGACTGGTGGTCGGAATGTCTGTCGGTACTCTGACAAACGTCTCACCGAATCAGCAGAAAGTTGGTGGAACTGAGGCATTTGAAACCTGACCCGCAAAATCTTTTCTGAATCGTGTTGACTTGCAGAACACACAAGTCAGATTAGCTTCATGTCTATACATTGTCCTGCTTCCTCTGCTGTCTATACATTGTCCTGCTTCCTCTGCTGTCTATACACTGTCCTGCTTGATCTGCTGTCTATACGCTGTCCTGCTTGATCTGCTGTCTATACGCTGTCCTGCTTGATCTGCTGTCTATACACTGTCCTGCTTGATCTGCTGTCTATACATTGTCCTGCTTGATCTGCTGTCTATACGCTGTCCTGCTTGATCTGCTGTCTATACGCTGTCCTGCTTCCTCTGCTGTCTATACACTGTCCTGCTTCCTCTGCTGTCACCCCTGAAATATTATGCTTACCTGCTGAGTCACGTTCCTAGTGTGTGTGTGTGTGTGCGTGTGCGCGCCTTATGATCTGTCAATGTCTAGTTTAATTATGAACCCTCTGAACACACACACACACACACAGTTACATACTCCCACGTACAGTATTATTCATTCATATAGTCACAAGAGTGAGTGAGTGTTGAGTGAATGAGTATAATTGAGTGAGTGGGTGTTTTGTTGCTCCTAATTTTGTACTCGCACTTATTTCTCTTTATGGTCAATCTTGCACACTTGAGGGCTCTTGTTGGCAACTGGTGATTTGTTTAAGTAATTGGCGGTCTTGACTCGTGCAATGTGAAGAGGGTGATAGGGTGGTTGTAATAGTGTGTGTGTGTGTGTTTTAAATTTCCAGCTACACTTAGAGGGAACTTGATTTATCGACAAGATTTTAAAAGAGATAGTTATGATTTCTTATGTCTGTCTGTCGTGCAAAAAAAGTGTAGTTTGGTATTATTTTTTATGCGTCTTTACCTCTTGTCTTCGTAGGTCCAATATGAATATTTAATGTTTCGAGCAAAATGTTAGCTTATACTCTCTCTCTCTCTCTCTCTCTCTCTCTCGGTTGATAAGATAAGCTTCAGTTGCACCGTAAAGAAAAAACAAAGAAGGTTTTAATCAAGATGGATGACGTGATGAATATAGATGCGAGGATTGTTGGACGATGGAAAGAAGTGTGGGTGGGATAAGTCCAAACTGGATGATGGAGGAGGCGGGCGGCGGCAGAACCCAGCACAGTACGTGTGTTATATCAGGGTGGCGACCGTGTCAACCTTGTCTAACTGAGGCAGCCTGTGAATTACACTTTGTATCAAGGAACGTGATGTGTTGTGGAATGTGTTGAGTCAGGGAACGCGATGTGTTGTGTCAAAGAACGGCAGAACACTGTGTTTCATGTCAAGGGAGAGGGTGGAGTGTGTCAGGGAGTAATGCGTAAGCGGAAGTGTAGAAAGTCAACGTTGTGTAAGGGCGGGCGTTACCTGGCCTCTCTATGGTGTGAATGGGAAGCTGTGGTGCCGTGCGTCTTAAGGCCTGTGTCTAGTGCGGCATTGGCCAATCCGGAGGACGTCAATGACTAATCCATAGTGCCTCAGGTGTCATTTAAACCGTAGTGCGTGAAGGAGGATGTGGGGGGGGGGGGTAGTGCGTGAGAGGCCAATTTGCTGTGCGTGCGTGCGTGAGTGAGTGCGTGAGTGGGTGAGGGAGGGAGGGAGGAACAGGGTCACCAGGTAGGGAACTTCCGGATTGGCTGTTGTTGTGGCCACTGCTGCTGCTGTTTCGCCCTCTCACCGTCCTGTTTTAATGACTAAATTACTGCCAAACACACGCTGCTGGGCACACTATACCTCCGTCTTCCGTGATGGAATGTGTCCGACGTGATGGATGTGTCCAGCATGATGGAACAAGTACAGGTGAAGGGACAACACACAAACGCTTGAGCAGGAATTTAAGGATCATTAGGTGTGATCAGACTGGGCTATAGGCAACCTTCATGTGACCTTGTGGTTGTATGTCATTATTGCACCAACATCGAATATCGAGCGAGTGGTAAAATGTTTTGTCCTTAAGTTTTACATCACCTGTACCCGGAGTTGCAGTGATTTGTTGATAGCAGCTAAGACGCTAACTAACTGACTGATTAACTGACTGACTGACTAAAACTAACCAAACAAACACTGGAACTCTAGCTTAATTTAGATACGTCCTGCACTAGGAGACAAAATTAAGCACAATCTTTCAGGAAAATTCTTATTGTAATTTGTGGTGTTATTCTCGGTTGTTATGTTTGTGATATACCTTAACGTTAATTACCCAGGTGTGTTGTTGTCTTATAATAACAGGAAACATTTACTCTAGGATACTTCGTGGCTTTGGATCAAGTTAATGTTATCTCTCTTCCTTTAATTGTAGATGAGATTGTCCCTTATAAAGATATATATTGTAAAGGTAGTGGTGGGGTGGGGGGTGGGGGGTAATTGTGTATGTTGTGTCGTGCATGAATGGTTACACAAGGTGAGTAGAGTGATGTATTGTGGGGGGGTGGAGGTAAGCTATCATGCGTCGCCCTAGTCCACCAGTTCCGTCTACACTAGCCCCTTCTTCACTAACTTCTGCTCCACCACCACCAGCTCCTCCTCCACCACCAGCTCCTCCTCCTCCAGTACCTCCACCGTGTTATCCTCCCGAACATCAAAACACTGGCCAGGTACCGGGACACCCCATCACGCACGCCCCTACACGGTCAACTCGCCGCGCACTTCATCAGTCTCGTTGTGTTGACGCGTCCATTGTGGGAATATGGAAATTTGGCGATGAATCGTATTTTAATGTAGGGTGTCCTGGAAGTGGAGCGGCGGTAGTGAGGTGGAAGGTGTAATGAGGCGAGGAGGGGGGGGGGGCTGGTGGAGGTGGCGGCGGTGGCGGAGTGAGGGCCGGCGGGTGCAGCAGTACGACTCGGGGAAGGCCTTAGTGGACCTCTGGCAGAGTGAGCGGCGACACCCGCCCCGACCACCACTCTTGCTGGTGCGTGTTGTGATAGCTATACCTCCCTCCATCCCTCCTCCTTCCCCCCCGTACCTGACTCAGCCGCCACCTCCTTCACCTCACACTGCCATCCTCTTGACCATCCATACAGTGTTACATATGTGTTGCAAGGGATTGTGTACAATACCATTGTATACCTTGGAATATTTTTGTCCAGTTGTGCCTGTACTGTCAGTGTTTGTGTGTGTGTGGAAAGTGGCTACTGGTCACGAGGAGAAACTTTTCCCAGTCCAGCCATTCTTTTCCCACCAGCCAGAAATAACGTAGACGTAACAGTGTAGAGGTAGTGTTGACTCTGAGGTGTAGTACTGCAGTGGCTTAATAAAGACGGTGTGCTCACTTACCCGATGTTAATGAGGAAGCTATGGAGGGTTTGTTGTGACACGGGTCCAACAGGCGTATAGTAATGACCGTGACAAGTGTTCCAGCCAGCCAAGGAATCCGGGTACACCGTCGCTGTATTCTGGAACTCGGATGACATTTACCTCTCGCCAACACTCCCACCTACCTCACGCCTCCTCACCCTGTAGACACAAACATAACTGATAACGCTTGCAGTTGTTAGTAGCGAAAATATCATGTTTGTGTGTTTATTAGCCATTGCTTTAATAGTAAATGTGTTTGTATGACTAGTGTTACTGGTGGAGTGTGTTGGTGTTGTGTGTCCTGAGTGTGTTACTCGAGAACACTTTCAACTAATCGTTCTTGCTCAGTGGATTAAGAGACCTGTTCATATCACTGAATGATCTTAGAAAAATGTAAAAGTTATACATTTAAAGAGAGAGAGAGAGAGAGAGGGAGAGAGAGTGAGTCAATGATGTGTGAGGGTGAGGAGAGCCGGAGTGAAGAAGGTGAAGGAAGATCAGGGTGGACGACACACTGGCACTGGTGAACCTTGTCAACAAACTCTCCGTCCATCACACTCACCCTGCAACACTTAAACGAGACATTTAAAAGAGTGCCACCGTCCGAACATTACTAATCGTCAGCGTGAGTGAGAAACATGACCTTTGTATTGAAGGATTATGTAAACATTAAATGGAAAGTTGAAGAAGATCCAGTGGGAAATACAGTTTCCTTAAAGCAGGCAAACTGGATATCTGAACACGTGTAAGTTTTATATGCTATATGTTGGTGTTGGTGGCGACCTTAATAAACAACAACAGGACCTAGGGTGTACTAAATGATCAAATATTTTAATTTTACTTTACATTATTTCTATATTTGTTTTCCTTTTATTTATATTTTTTTATCCATTTTATGAGATATTTTAGTGATATAATCCCTTGTGGTTGAGACTCGCGGGTGACATTTTGGTGTTGAGTTATACCTGACCTATGAGCCCGCCTCTTCCACCGGCTAGTTCAGTCAGTCAGTTGTGTCCTCCTGTAGGCTCGATCTTATCTCCATTGGCCCAAAAATTTATAAAGAAGATCCTCGGGTTTTATACAATGACATTAGTTGTGTTTTAGTCTCGTTTTATTTATTTTATTATTATTTATAGAAAGTATGTGTTTATGTGTATGTATACTACTGTGTTTTCATCAGTATTGTAGACATCGAGCGTATACACACATACACTCGCACACCCAGTATACATTCACACCTCCATACACATACCCAGTACACACTCACACTCCCATATACACTCACACACCCCCATATACACTCACACACTCCCATATACACTCACACACTCCCATATACACTCACACACTCCCATATACACTCACACACTCCCATATACACTCACACACTCCCATATACCCTCACACACCCCCATATACACTCCACACACCCCCATATACACTCACACACCCCATATACACTCACACACCCCCCATACACTCACTCACACACCCCCTATACACTCACACACTCCCACACTATACACATATACACACTCACACACTCCCATATACACTCACACACCCCCCATATACCCTCACACACCCCATATACCCTCCACACACCCCATATACCCCACACACCCCATATACACTCACACACCCCATCTATACACTCACACACCCCCATATACACTCCACACCCCATATACACTCCACACACCCCCATATACACTCACACACTCCCATATACACTCCACACATATACACTCCACACCCATATACACTCACACCCCATATACACTCACACACCCATATACACTCACACACTCCTCATACACTCACACACTCCCATTACCTTACACTCTCACACACCTATATACACTCACACACCCATATACACTTATATACACTCACACCCCATATACACTCACACACCCCCCATATACACACTCACACACTCCCATATATACACTCCACACACACCCCCATATACACCATATACACCCCCATATACACACACACTCCCACACTCACACACCCCACATATATACACTCACACACTCCCATATACATATACACTCCACACACCCCATATACACTCACACACCCCATATACACTCACACACTCCCATATACACTCCTATACACTCACACACCCCATATATATACACTCCACACATACACCCCCACTCACACACACCCCATATACCTCACACACCTCCCCATATACACTCACACACCCCCTCACACACACTACACACACACCTCCCATATACACTCACACACTCCCATATACACTCACACACTCCCATATACCCCCCACACACCCCCATATACCCTCCACACACACCCCATATACCTCACACACCCCCATATACCCTCCACACCCCCATATACACTCACACACTCATCATATACTCACACTCACACACATCTATACCCTCACACACATATGCACTCCCACACACCCCCATATACTCACACACCCCATATACACTCACACACACTCATCATTACACTCACACACCCCCATATACATCACACTCCCACATACACCACACACCCCATATACACTCACACACTCCCATATACACTCACACACTCCCATATACACTCACACACACCCACACACCTCCACACCCCCCATATACACTCACACACTCACATATACCCACACTCCCACCCTCACACACCCCCATATACACTCACACACTTACCTACACCATATACACACACTCTTATACACTCACACACTCCATCACACACTCACACATACACTCACACACCCCCATATACCCCACACACCCCCCATATATACCTCCACACTCCATATACACTCACACACCCCATATACACTCACACACTCCCATATACTCACACACCCCATACACTCACACACTCCCATATACACTCACACACTCCCATACACCCCACACACCCCATATACCCTCACACACCCCCCATGACACACCACACTCCCCACACTCCCATATACACTCCACACACCACTCCCATACACTCACACACTCCCTTATACCCTCCACACCCCATATACACTCACACACTCCCATATACACTCACACACCCTATACACTCACTATACACTCACACACTCCCATATACCCTCCACACCCCCACCCACTACACACTCCATATACACTCACACACTCCCTCCCATACCTCACACCCCCATATACACTCCACACATATCACACCTCCCATATACACTCACACACCCCATATACACTCACACACTCCCATATACCTCACACACTCCCCATATACACTCACACACCCCCATATACACTCACACACACTCCTCTCATATATACACACACACCCCATATGCACTCACACTCCCATATACACTCACACACCCCATATACACTCACACACTCCCATATACACACACACTCCCCCTCCCATATCCCACACACTCCCACATATACACTCACTCACACACTCCCATATACCCTCACACACCCCATATACACTCACACACTCCTATATACACTCACACACCTCCCATATACCTCACACACTCCCTATACACACCCCCATATACACTCACACACTCCCATATACACACTCACACACTCCCATATACACTCACACACTCCCATATACACTCACACACTCCCATATACACTCACACACCCCCATATACACTCACACACTCCCATATACCCTCACACACCCCCATATACACTCACACACCCCCATATACACTCCCTCCTTCATCCTGTCTTAACCACCTCGTTCATTAACCACCTCGTTCATCTTCTCTACAAGTCGCTTCCTCCACGTAATTCAACTCGCATACCAGAGCTTTCAAAATCCTCCTTTCTATCATTAGTGTGTGTGTGTGTGCTTTCTCTTTCTCTCAACTATGTAGAAATCGTCGTCATCATCATCATCATCATCATCATCATCATCATCATCATCATCATCCGCCACCAAGCAACTTAACCACCCCATGCAGACTTCATTATCATTCCCCCTTTAATCTATTTTTTCAGATGTTTATAATGTGAAACAATTCCCATTCTCTTCATTATTTCCCTATTTCCCTTATTTTCCCTTAGTCACATTCGCCTTTAATGACAGATTCTTAAACCACGGAGACAAGATTAAATTTTACTGTTTCGAATAAATCAGTTTAACCTTTGTGTTGTGTGATCAATGTATTTGGTTGAGTTGTGCAGTATATTGATAACTGTTAATTCATTGGTTTATTTCGGGTAATACAAGCATAGGAGTGATTTACTGTAATAGGTGATTAAGTTAAGAGTAATTATGTTTTGGTCATTAAATATATACCAGTTTGTTAAGGATTTTGCTTTTCTTTTTATCTTCGTTTCAAAGTGTTTAATTTTTTTGTTCGCTTGAAATTAAAAAAAAAGAAATATCGATAATCCAAACCCACTGCAGACATGACTGACTAACTTGAACTACACATGGGAGTTGACCGAAGTATTACATGATTTATTTTTATTTTTTATTTAATATTTCCTTTATTCTGTTGTTGTAAAATAGTGGCAATTTATGGGAGCTTACACTTGAACCGAGAATTATTTTATTGTTAGTGTGTGTGTGTATGTATGTATGTATGTATGTATGTATGTATGTATGTATGTATGTATGTAATGGGTTTGTCACACACTCATTGCAGTATACAAGTTTTAAGCGTTATACATGGAATTCTTATATCTATAATTTTGTTCATTTGCTTTGTACACGAGTGAGTATGATTCTGTATTATTCACTATAGAAGTATGAGTAAGATTATACACGTTTTCTTTTATATCCCCTAAATTTTTTCCAATATAACAGATTTTACTTTACTTTCTTTTTATTTAATGTTTGTTGTTGTCACTTTCAAAATAAAGAAAGTCATTTTTGCTGTACATCTTGTTAAACTGCATCGTGAGTGAGGTGGCGCCTGCAGAATCTTGCCTAAATATTTCTCCTAGCCAGACTAAACAGCAGTGCTTGAAAGTTTTACAGAAGAATGCTGCAAGTTTGGCTGCCACATAAGTGAAGCTGTCGCCACCGGACCTGCACCTTGAATTTAAAGAATGAGGCGAGGCTGGGAGAAAATAACAGGGGGGCAGGCAGCTCAAGAAGGCAGGACAAGATTGGATTAAGATGCACAGTCGCAGAAAAGTGATGATTCATGGGAGATAGATATGTGTGTGTGTGTGTGTGTGTGTGTGTGTGTGTGTGTGTGTGTGTGTGTGTGTGTGTGTGTGTGCTACCCCTCCCCAAGTGTCACCGTGAGAGACTGAACTCTTTAACCTCTGAGTAATGGCATATTTAAAGGGGGGCTTCATTATATGCGAATTAGCATATTAGAAGACCACGTATTCTAGGATCGTGTCGGTGCAGATATGGAGGTAATTTATCTCCATCTTAACTTAACATTATTACAATACTTGGGAGCAGTAGAGGAAGAAAGAACTAAAAACCAGGATCTGTCGTTGAAGTTTTACCCGAGATCTGGCTCACAAGGACAGGCGCGTTGTGGTATGCCGTACGTGCTTCCAAAATCACCGCCGGATTTGCTATTGATTTTACTAACTTTTCGGCTGATGGTGAAAGGATGTTAAATTTTGTCCTGATGTTGGTCATTCCAGAGAAAATTTATATTATCTTAAAAAAAATAATAATAATAATCTGAAGTTATAATACAACATTGACAAATTTTACCGAGTTTTTTTTTTATTTATTTTTAATTTTTTATTTATGTTTTAGTCTTGG